TTCTCCATTGCAGCACAGTGCAGCACCTAGGATCTACTTTGATAGTGAGGATGGGTGGATAATTTAACAACCAGTTTGTCCAAAATGGCTGAATCCCACCACTGGTTTTGCCCCATTTTATGATCTTTCTTGTCACAGTTGCTAAGTGAATCACTACAGTTGTTAAGGTAGTACAAAAGTATCACACATGGCATTTAATAATCCTATAAATTATGACTTGCTGATCTTCAAACTGTGAATTATTATATATATTATCATATGATAATAGAATTGCTATCCTTACAAATGAGACATGTTTTTTAAAATTTGATGTAAAGTTTAAGGTAGTGGCAAATCTTGTTCCGGTGTGTTAATACTAGAAATGTAATTGTGGAAATATAATTTGATGTCATCTGCGCTTTACTTGAAATATTTGTGTCAGACACATGGGCTTAAATATCCTTGTCCACTAATGAAAGTAGACTAGTAATTTTGATCTAAATCCATGAATTAGGACTTCTCTATCTCTAGATATGTTGTAGGATAAATGAAAAATGAGAGAGAGGAAGAGAATGAACAACTGCAAAGTGGCAAATACTTATTGTTCATGAGATACATAGAGTTTATAATTTCATGGGGTGATTTGTGTAGTACCTATTTCTTTTCACATAAAATAATGAGAATCTGCTACTGTCAACAGTTGATTTCCCACTGTGTTAGAAAATCCCTTTAAAATAAATGAAGTGTTCTCATAAATATCACAGTTTTGTAGAACAATGAAACAAGAAACGGTAGTTTACATAAGAATAGGAAAATAATTCATGTGTTATTTGATAAATTTCATTCTAGAAATGAAATCCCTGCTATTGCATTTCTGCAATACATTCCAAAACTAATTCAGAATCACTGTTCAAGGTGGAATGGTTAAAAAAAGAATAACATGAATGAGACAGTTGGGTAAGGAGGAACACTAAATCTAAAAAAAATCTAAACTAATTTTCAAAGAGGGTATACAATCTTCTCTGATGATTTCTCAGAAGTAAATGCAGTTGGTTTCAGGGGTAAGTTTGTTTCTATTATGAAAGTGAGGGACAATATATTGTGCCCCTTTTCAAAGCAACAGCAATAAAGCAGTAATTACCAATTTACTAAGTTTTTAATCTCAAAGTGTCAAATTTTTATTTGATTACAGGTGTGTTTTGTATAAGAATAATATGTTCTTTTTCCTGTTCTTTTTCTTAAACTAACCAACTAACCAAACAATCCCCCCAAAACCTTTTGGAAGTCATTCAGTTAGACTAAGCCATGTGGCTTTGTTTATCAGAATTACCAAGATCAAGGCCACAAATCACCTTAGTCTGAAATCCTTTCAGGTGTTTTCTCAAAATAAGACTTGTTACATTTATTTATTTTCCAAATATGAAAAATTAAGGTGATTGCACTTATTTTTGCTGATGAAAAATAGTTTGTAGACTTTTAAGTGCTCAGAATATGATCTGTTTTGATCCAAATAAATATTTCAGCTTTGCAGTTTTTGTGGTATTTCAGAATAAACAAAATTATTTATATTATTCCATTTGATTGCAACTTTTCTCCATGGGATTTAGGAGAATGAGCAAGATTCCACCATCCCAACTACCATCCAAACATATTGTTCCCTCCACATATCCCTTATGGTTTTGCAACTGAAGGGTTGTGCATCTGGAGGCATCCTAGTTGAAGGAAGTTGAATTAGAGAGCTACTGATCTAGGTGCCATCTTACAGCCCTAATTCAATTCCTTAATGATTAAATCACAGATTCTGTGTTTTTATTAGCATTATGTTTTGACCTTTTAAATTGCAAGGTTGCATCAATTATATGAAGTACTTTTGTTTTAAAATGATATACAAGTTAGCTGCTTTATATTACATGTTTCATATATGTTACATTCGTTTCTGAATATAAATCCTTTTAGAATGTTGATTCTCAAGTAATGGCTGCTTGATCTTTTCCTAAAGGCACTTCTCCATTCTTTTAAGGCCAGCTGTTACGTTCCTTTTAAAGTACTTGTAAATTTCAGTTGGTGCTAGTCAGAGGTGGTATTCAGCAGGTTCTAACCAGTTCTGGAGAACCGGTAATGGAAATTTTGAGTAGTTCGGAGAACCAGCAAATGCCACCTCTGACTGGAGATTTTACAGTATCCTTCCCCTGCCATGCCCACCAAGTCACGCTGACAGAACCGGTAATAAAAAAAAATGAATCCCACCACTGATGCTAGTGCAATAGAGGATTTCTAGTACTTCAGAAGATCTATTCTAGTACTTCTGAAGATGTATTCCTCTAATGGAATATATTAAACAAGCATTTATTTTACTTTTGCTTAATAAATGTATTATTTTAAAAAAATTTGGATCCTTGCTTCTTTCTCTTTGCTGTTTTCAGTTTAATGATGTCTTATTATTGACATTTTACATTTGCTTCTATACTTTGTAGCCCCTTTGAATGAATCCTTTAATGGGAAGAAGAGGTAGGAGAATCTGTAAATAAATCAGTCAGCACAAGTCAGCACTCAGCAAATTTTACCATGGTATTAAAAAAAGGAAGCTTATATTCAAATAATACTTCTTTTGAAAAAGTACATATTTTTCTTTATTTTTGTTTTTGGTCATAACATAAATTACATTAAAAAAATAATAATTTAGAAACAGGGTCTCTTTTTCTCTCTTATTGTTATTATCTATCCAAGCCAAACCTGGTATTATGAATGAATGCAGTTGAGAAAAAAAAACATAGTTAATAGAAATAAAAAATCACATTGCCTGAATGTCATGGAAAAGTATCCCAGAAGAGTCAAATATCTGCAGCCTATATAGTCAATATTCCATTAAATGGTTCTCTTTCTCTCATATGTAGATTAGTGCACAGGAGTCTGTAGCAGATATCAGATCTATAGTTGCAGATATCAGAGAAAGCAAGTGACTAATAAGGGGAAAAAGGATTTTCCCTCATTATTTTGCATCTTATGTACATTATAAGCTAATGTTCCCACTGGTCTTCAGTTCTGAAACACATGTTTCTCACATCTTTCTGGAGGAACAGGAAATAGTAGTCCAGAAGGATATCAGCCATTATTTCTATCTTCCTTGTTTCTTGCTCCTCTAAGCTTTCTGTAATAGTCACATTGACCTCCAGAAATTTCTTGTATTCTATACTTCTACTAGCCAAACTACTAGTCAGGGGTGGGATTCTACCAGTTCACACCTATTCGCTAGAACCGGTTGTAGTTCGGAGAACCGGTTGTTAGAAGAAATTACTGGCCTAATCCTGTAAGAAAGACAGGAAGGAAACATTCTGGTATTGCTTACAGAAACTGCCTCTCCATTAACCCTTATTACATTCTTGGCAGGACTAGACTCCCTGTATCAGGAACTTCTCTGGAGTTTTTTCCCCCTCATTTACTGGTACTTTGCTTGTGTGGAGTGACCATTCAAAGTTACAGTGGCACTGAAAAAAGTGACTTGTGACCGTTTTTCACACTTAGGAGGAGGAGATGCGTGCCTTGATATGAGTGATATTGAGTTGGCCACACCCAGACAATATAACATGACCAACAAGCCATGCCAACCAACTAAGCCACACCCATAGAACTGGTTGTTAAAAAATTTGAATCCCACCCCTGCTACTAGTGATATTAAATTCAACTTTCTATTTAACATGCATATTTTTTACAATGTAGATAGCAGCCAGTGGGGAAAAGCTGATGGTATGTCATGTTCCAAAAGAAAGGGAGAATTAGTTCTAACATTTTTAAAGTTTAATGCCATTAGAAATGTCAGCTACATGTTTCACTTCCAGTGTGTGCAACAAAACCACAAAATGTTGCTTATTCTTAGTCATTTTGAATTAGATAAAAGCAATTTTTTTTTCTGTGAATCCTTTCATCCCATACTGTGTTTATGCCTATCCAGTATACCAAAACTATGTTCTGTACATTACAAACTTTCTTTCTCAACTTTATTCCCAGATACTGCTTTGAAAAGCAGAAGGGACTATAGGGGTTTGTTGTAAGTGTAAGAACTGTCCCAACAAGTAAAAAAATCCTTAATTGCAGTAGCAAACAATTTTGAAAAGTACTCAAATTTTCTGTTTTAGCATCCTTTTTGAGCTCCTTGTAAATCAGTTTCCCCTTTCCCCAAATCTCCTATACATAGTATATTTATCCATTTTATTATCCAAGTGTCAATCCTGTTAGGTCTAAGGAGTGAATTATATAACTTTTCCTGTTGAGTATGTGTTGTTCAGTAGGGATGGGATACAACAGGGTTAACTCCTGGTTCGGGATTTATGAGCTTCCCTGCAGGCTGCGAGCCACGCGTAAATTGTCATCAACAACTGCCTGCAGAGTTGCAGCCTTTGAAACAGCCCTCTTTTCTTGCTTTTCTAACTGCAGCTGTGCCTCGTTCAGCAGCTGAAGTTGAAAAATCAGGAAATAAAGATCAGGTAAGAGCCCAGGTGAGTAGGCCAGCAAAAACATCAGCAGACATAGAACGGTTCTGTGTCTGCTGCTCTTCAGAGCTACTGGTTCTACAGAGGTGGACAGAACTGGAAGAAACCCACCCCTATTGTTCAGTTATTTTTATATAATGAACATGTCTAAATTTCCTGTACATATTTATATAAATTATATGTAAAAAGTTATTTACACAAATTTATACCATATTTAAACCATCATCATCACTTCAGTCTTTTTTACATAAAGGGAAAAGAAGAATATTGCTGATTCAGACTAATAGCTCATTCAGAATTTTCTTCTATACAGTTGCTGACCACATACATCCATAAAACTCACAAACTTGGGCAGGAGAGTGATAATCTCTTCTGTTGTTCCTGAGCAGCTGGCATTTAAGATGAGCTACCAGGTTTGTTTTTTTAATTGCATTTTTTCTTTGACCCATTTAAACTTCCTGTTTGCTTGGCCCTTTCTACCTCCTTTTTTAGCTTCAGCTTTGACTCCATCTCCAGGTTGCCTTTGTTCCCTTCCTAGCCATCTGGAGTGCCTGTTTTGCTGTAGCTTTAACCCAATCATTGCCACCTTAAATTCAATAAAATAATTTTGGACAGCTTGACTATGGCAACTCACCAAAACTGCCTTTCTGGATTCAACACCGAAGTTGATATCAGAAAAAACTCTCTTCTCCTCTTTCCTCATCCCATACTATCCATATTTATAAAGTCTGGACCAAATTTCATATAATGCACATCCCTCAGACACAATTAACTTGCCAACCCCAAGAAGGCATATAGACATTTCTTGTTTATAAACTGTATTCGGCAATAGTGTTATATTTTGGGGGCTTTTATAAGGTGATAAAGACCCTGGAATTAGACCTAGCTACTAAGTTAGCCCATTTTGATATAGTAGCTATTTATTCTGTTCTAAATTTTGCACCATGCAAAATAAAAATGTTGCTTTTAATTACAATGTTTATTTTATTGCTTGCTTGCCATATTGAGGCATGTGTCAATTAGGTACACATATATAACTATGTAATTAATAATTATACTGAAAATTAACAATATCTGTCTGGAGAATATAGTTGGTTGAGGACTTTTTGACCTGGAAAAAAATGTACAGAAGTGAAGTCTTGTCCAATTTACAATGTTTTATGAGTAAATTATATTTGGCACATAATGAAGTATTTTTCATTTTATGTTCCTTGAGATATATTTTTCTATAAATAAAACGTATTTATTTTAGGTGAGGAAAATTTATTATTAATGCAAGATTAGATTTAGTGCAAAATAAACTTTATAGTAAGGAACTTATATACATTAAGTAATACTCATTTTGGGGCAAATATTGGAAACAAGCAAACATTGCATTGCAAGGAGATATAAGACACCACAAATTAAATGTAGTGTACATAATTCCACATTTTTCCAGCTTCTGGGACATAATCGCATTGTAAGATTGAACATAATTTTGTAATAATAAGTTGGCTTGATGTCCTCAATGTCACTTTTTCTGCAAGAGCAAACTGACATTGTTATTAATGAGGGCCATAGAAATGCCATATGTGATTAGGTTAAAGAAATTAAGAACATTTCAGTAATCTCCATCAAGGATTAATTCTATCTATAGTTATAATGAATACATTTGGTTGCATTTATTTAATTTCCCTCCCGCAGATAGAAATGGCACAGAGCCATTTTTCTTCATTTGCAGGTCACTTTTCAAGTCTTCCAGTTTATTTACTATATTAATAGTTGATAACTTGTCACCTTTTCACCTTTTACTCCTTTCCATCCTGTGCCTAGTATCAGGAATTCAGGAGAACATTGCTGCATACTTTGCTTTGTCAATTTATACAATCTGAAAAAGATGAAAGTTCAAGTTGAATTACTGTTTCCAGCAATCTACAGTAGTACTGATTTCTAAAGTTGCCTTTGGCCTACCTTTGGCCTTCAGTATTTTCCTCTTATAAATAAATATGCAGAATTAATTAATACAATTTTTTGTACACCATGGAACTAAGCATACCAGATGATGTGTGTAAGAAGCCAACTAGCAATCCACATCTTCTCAATTGTAATAGGATCACATGAAATTAACATTAAAATTAATTTTGTTGATATTTTCATTGGCTGCTTTAAAATTTCATATGCTATCCATATTTTTTAAAAAAATATCTAGGCATTTTTGTCATATAATTTTCTAGCACAGATTCCATTGTTTCATGACTGAATACATCATATCAAACCCATATTTTAAAAATTGCTCAGGTTTTTACAAAGTTAGGTAAGGTATTAGTTTCAAGTTGTCTAGTTTCTTGTAATACTATTATTTGAAGAAATATATATTTCATACAGAAAATTACCCAAATGATGTTTCCTTTCTCCTCAGCTTCTATTAGTTTAAAGCTATTCTAAAGCTGTCCATTTTATTTGCTATGAATGTGTTTGAGAAAGTGTGAGAGAAAATGGGGAATAGCTTTAGAGTTTATCTGATTGTTGGTTTTGCTTTCAACTTTAAAGCATTTACATTTTAAATGGTTTTTTCTTCTTAAGCTAGACTCAGTTTCTTATTTCTGAATTTGAAAATATATGGGTTAAAAGAAGTGTTTTCCAACTCTAACAATCTCAGTCAAGTTAGCTCCCTATTATTCTTGGTTTCATCTAACTTCCCTACTTCCCACCCACAAGCCATAATGCATGCCAGTTATTGAAAAATGTCAGACTTCCTATCTTGCATAAATTTTGATTATCTAGAAATCCATGCTCACATTCTATAATATCAGAAGTTTAACAGTCTTATCACAGCTGAGTAAGCCGCTATGAAATAGGCAAGAAAGTAGTCTTATTACTCAGAAGATCTCCCAGTGTTTAAATTCCAGGCTTTTAGGTAAGATTCTTTTAGCCTTGAGATACAAAAAACATTTTTTTCATGCATCATCTGACCTAAGAATCCCTGATTCCTACTTTGCCATGTTCAGTCCTTACAAAAAGAGAACAATATAGAAACCATTTTAATGATTTCCTGAAGAAAAGATGTAAGCGGTGTCTCAATTCTACTTTCATCTTTCCCAAAGAACAATTAGCTATTTTAAACCACAGTTGCTTTGCACAGTAAGAGTGACTGAATTTGACCATTATCCTGGAGCACCAGCTGTGCCTTCCAAGAGTGAGGAAAATAGGACAAATGTATTACAAGAATTGTTACATTCAGCATTTGCTTTTGTAAAAGGACTGATACCCATGATAGCCGTAATTGAAAATTCATGCAAAAATAGAAATAAAGAAAGAAAATAAATCTTTACAAACAAACATGGTGCTGGCTCTATTTCAAACATTTACATAGTTATTCAATAATAATTTAATGTCATATCTTTTAGCAGTGGTCATGTTTATCTTTATGAGAATTAGGATCAATACAGCTGGACAGTTTCAGGTTGGGAAAGCTTGATATTTACAAGTAAATGTACATTTATTTGTTCTTTTAAGACTAACTCTAAAAGCGATACATATAAACTGAGAAAATTATTTGTGTATAGATTTAATAGGCATAGTATTTTTACTTCCATAAATTTAATGGACTTTCCTAAGAATTTAAGCCATAAATAAACTCATACTAATACAATATATGAAATATAAGTTTCAGGATGCAACTTGATTGATTGATTGATTGACTGATTATATGCCATGAAGCTGCTTTATGTATGCTCCTAGCAATCACATAGGTACATTTTCTCCATGGTAATCAATCAACTTTATTAGTGCCATATTATAAAGGAGAAGAAACTAGACCTGGTGTATATCATGTGTATATATAGATATAAATATTTCCTATACTTTCTTATTCCTTTCATCTTTTTGTCCTGATAGCAAACAAATGCAAATCAAAATTGCCAATGATGCTAAGAGCCACTCCTATGAAAGTTCCATAATTTGAGCTTTCACATTATGTTCTTCTTTAGTATAGTATTTCAATAGAGACCCGCCATGTTCTTAATAAAACTCTTTTTAATGTATATAATGGAACTTTCTCTTTGTTTCTGTGTTAAAATGATCAGGAGATTCATATGCTTGTTTTATAGTGATACTGCCAACATGGCACTATAAGATATCTGAAAGGTCTAGATTGGACAAGTTAAATCAAAGAGTGTTTGTCCTCTGGCATATAAACAGCACATTTTAGAGTTTCCTAGACTGTATTTTTTCTCTCCCTCCCTCTCTCCCTCTCTCTCTCACACACACCCCTCTTCCAAAACTATATTATCCACTTTTTTCCAAACAAGAATAATTTTCAGTAACATTTCAAATATTTCATATCGACTTGCAGTTCTGAGCAATATAGTTTGTCACTAATTTAGATGTAAATCCATCTCTATCTCTATTTATATCTAAATCTTTAAACACTGAGAACACTTGCTTTCTTAGTTAGTCTCCCACGTTTGTTTGTTTTTTTTTCATTCTGTCTAGAACAGTGAGCCTGTATAACATTTTTTAAATGTTTATCATTCCCAACTGTCAGATTTTAAGCAAGATATACTACAAATCTGTAGTGTCCAAAAACTCAATCCTGCATTTATGAATTAGACAACAGCAGAGATTTTATAGACATCACATTATTAGATAAGTTGTTTGATTGCAAAAAGTCATGTGTACAAAAAAGATCTGAGTACTGAAGAACTCAGAAATCAAGTTATATGTATGTAAGCATGTCTCTCTGTCAACTGCAGGGTTTAAACTTTAACCTTCTTCTTCCCATTCGTGAAAGTCAATGGACTGTTGAATATATTTTTCTCCAATGAGCTGCTCCGAGCATCCAGCAGTGAGAGGTGCTTAGACTTAGATTGGATAGGCTGGGCTTGATTGATAGGACACTCCTCCTCCTCCATGTACTCCTCCTTAGTGTCCCTAGTTTTAGCTCAGCCTTTGTGAGGTAGGCAGCTTGGTTGCTTCCTTGGCCAGACTATGACAAATTAAACAGGTTTGAATTACTCTAATTGACAATTCTAAAATATTAGTCTATTACAATTCAAAATTGTTTGGCATTTCTAAATCATAAGTCTAATAGAATTTAAAAGTGTCTTTCTAATAACATTATTCCAATGGCAAATTGGCAAGAGTGCCATCGGAATACACATTAGCTCCCCAGGGAGCCCTCAGCTGCTTCCACAGCAATTAGAAACAACATCCTCTTGACATCGTCTGACAAAAACTAAGTGCTGGAATTCATTTTTATATTTTCATTGTTCCAACTTCCACAGAGGTTGAGAGAGGGCTCCTAAAGCTCTAAATATTCATAGCTGAGGGGTGAGATACATGTATTTTCTACCTTGTAAGATTGTTTTGTTCTTTCCATTTCTTCATCCAGCTATAGCTGATGGGCAAAAGATAGTAGACTCTCTGGTTAATATTTGAAATAGGACTTCTAAAAATATTCTGAATTTATTTTATTAGAAATAAAATAATTGATCAAATCCCTTCTGGAAAATATATTAAATTAACTTTTTGGAATGAAATAAACCATGTAAGAAAAATAAAATTAGCTACAGTACAATAGTATCTAATTCTTATGAGTAAGTTATAAAGTCCATAGAACCTGTTTCAGGATTCCTGTGCAAAGGAAGAGGATGCAAAAATATTTACCAGGTGGGAGAGATTTCTTGATCACAGGGGGATACAACAATTCAGGCAGTTTGTTCATTAAAGATCTCGAATTGCAAAAAGTAAAAAAAGTGGAACCATAGTCCTTGACAACTAGTTTAACATAAATCAGGGAGAAAGAGATGGATAACTTGGTCTAAGAAGCCTAATGGCCTGGCTTCATGGCATATCTGCAATATAGCTTCCCACAAAGAAGACAGATATAACTGGTCATAGCTGTGCAGTTTTCCTATTTCTTTCCTCAAAAAAAGAAAAAGAAAAGAAAAAGAAAAAAAAAGGAAGAAAGGAGACAATGGATCTACTGAAGGTCATGTGTCCAATTTCACCTTAGAGACTTAATTATGGATTTAATCAGTTTGCTTTTTTCTTTTTCATAGAACACTCCATGGTGAGAGGACCACACAGTAGATTGAAGGAGAATGTTTTTGTAAGAAATATTCTGGGTTAGCCTGCTTATTCTACAGGAAAATGGAATGTAAAAAAATAAAATAGAAAAATTCAAATGAGATAAAAGTGTGGTGCCTGATTTGGTAAAGTTTATAGCTTTTCCAAATTCCTGTGATCCATTTTAACATACATAGAATATCTACTGCCTTTTGTTTTGGAATCAGGGTTGATTAGTAAACATCTGGTCACTGACATGGCCTGCCAATGACACAAAATAATATTATGCCCACATCTTTCCAGATGCCCAAGACTTAGTCTCAAGAATGCACATGATCCGTTTCCCTTAAAAAGAATTGTTGCTGTGATAAAATCCCTTTTTTAAGCAGGAAAGATTAGTTGTTTTCAGAAATAGGCATAAGACTGTTTAAATCATGAGCTGGTTATAATAAAAGGACAATACTTGAGCATTGCCAGGATGATCTACTGCAAATATAAATGGAAAGAGCCTGAATCTACTTCTTTAACTTCTTTGTTGTATTCTTCCCTTTTTTCCTAGTATTTAAATCTGATGCCTTTCTCTCCTGAAAGAGATTTATTCTCATTTATTGACCTGTGTTTTTTCTAAGTTGCATAAATGAGCTTTATGATTGTCTAGTTTTGCATTCTTAAAATTCCTATTTTGATTGTTTCCATTCTAGTGGCTGGACACATGGACAAATGCTTCATCATTTGGGGGATTTTTTTTTTTACTAACTTTCAAAGTCACTATCCTATTTTGCCTTAAGATTTATATCAGTCTTGTATTACTCATATTTCAGTACTTAAATATGTCCAGTCTATAGCTGATTCAACACAAATCAGCCTCCCAGTTAGAAAAATATTTAACAACTTACATGCCTTAACTAACCTCAGAAGGGCTTTTTTTTAGCTCAATTCAAACAACTGAACTCCATGATAAGATATGGGACTACATTTGTGGAGCAAGTGCTATTGAAGACATTGAACACATTCTTGTTGACTACAAAGTTGACTATACAGAAAGTGCTGCTTACTTAGACTTTTACTGAGAAACCAAAAATATTCATCTCAGAGAAATTTTTGCATAAACAGATCTGCAAATCATTAGGGAACAAATCTGCAAATCACTGGTAAGATTGCACTTTTTATGACAAAGCCCATTATGAAGAAAACAGAATATCTAGATCAGATTGAAGTTAACTGTAGGTATGATGATTTATTATGAACATGTCATATTGTTTTCTTTGTGTTTATTTGCATTTTTATCAGTTTTATCTATTTGATATGATCAATTGAAAATAAAAAATGCTATCTATCTATCTATCTATCTATCTATCTATCTATCTATCTATCTATCTATCTATCTATGTCTCAGTGGTGGCACAGTGGTTAAAATGCAATATTGCAGGCTAACCCTGCATTCCATTGCTACAGTTTGATCATAACCAGCTCAAGGTTGATTCAGCTTTCCACCCTTCTGAGATTGGTAAAATGAGGACCCAGATTGCCAGGGGCAATATGCTGATTCTGTAAACTGCTTAGAAAGTGCTGTAAAGCAATATAAAGCGGTATATATCTAAGTGCGGCTATTGCTAACATCTATCTATCTCTATGCTTAATAGCTCTATTTGTCTTTATTAAACAGCTAAATTTTCAGTCATGTACTTATTTGTTTTAATATTTATCTTCTGAATATTTTAAAACTATTTCTTCTCCATTATTTTTCTTCTGCTGCTCAAGCCTTCTCTAAACTGTATTTATTTATGTTCATTTAAATCTATGTATTCACTGGGATTGATTTCTTTATTATGCTTGTATCATATAAAACTTCTGATTTGTCTTCCTAATTTCCCTATCTCTTTAACTATCTTCTTTAGAATGATGCCTTCTTCATAATGTAAAGATTTTTCAAATTATTATTAATAATTTTCATTATATTTTACCATTCTCATTTTGATTGATTTTTTACAATATCATCTCTAGCCTTGATTATTATAATTTTCTACAAAAGTTTCTTCCTTTCTTATCTGATTATCTGTAGTTTAAATACAGATTCTTCACATGTCCTCATATCTTTCCACAATTCACTTCTATTTCTTGTAATATATGAGTTCCCAGGACCACATATGAATTGCCAGCATATTGAAACATTAACAGGGGCAAAAAGAAAAATGATTAAGTAAACATTGAAATTTAAATTTTATTAATTAATAATGTATCAAATAGATAACATTATTAAATATATTTACCAGTGCAATTGGTCAAATATTGGATCTGTGCCAGGAAAATTAAATTTCAAGTTCTAACCAAGGAACTAAGAATTATTTTATTATTTTATTTATTTATTTGTCTAGCAAGTATTAGATAACAGGCATAAGTATATAAGCATGGTTATGAATACATGAAATGGATACAAATAAAAATTATTAAGGTAGCATCTACAGTGTTTCCTGTAGGCAGTTCCAAGCAGTTCGAAAAAGTTAGGGTGTTATTTCTATATATCAAGGAAGTCTTTTAGATATTGCTCCAAGAGCTCCAATCATAATTGATATAACAACAGATTTCTTTTTCCATAAGTGTTCAACTTTGATCTGCAGCTCTCAGTATTTTATGAGTATTTTTCCAGTTGTTTTTCTTCAAATCAAGAATCAGCTGGAATAGCAATATCAGTGAAGCCCATTTTCTTCTTCTCAATCATTGTTATGTCAAGCATGTTATGAACAAGATATCTGTCTATTTTGATGTTAAAACCCCATAAGATCTTAACCTACTCATTTTCTAAAATTTCAACTTGATAGTCTTAGTAGCAACAGAACTTAGATTTATATGACACTCTATAGAGTTTTAAAACACTCCCTGAGTGGTTTACAGTGTCAGCACATTTCCCCCAACAATCTGGAACCTCATTTTATCAACCTCAGAAAGATGGAAAGTTGAGTTAATCTTGAGCACATCAGCATTGAACTCCAGACTGTAGACAGAGTTAGCCTGCAATAACCACTGCACCACTACATTCAAACTTTTGGCAAAATTTCCAGTCAATAATTCTGGGAACTCAGATACTGCTTGTAGTCAGTTTGAGAAATTTTACTGCACATTATTTTATCCTTCTCATTACAAAGCAACATTTGCTATTGTTTTTTACATGTTGAATTTCTATCCAAATACAATTAATTGGCAAAGCTTGTTTTTGCCATGTTGAATTTCTATCCAGATGCAATTAGTTGGCAACGCTTGTTTTTGAGCTGGTAAAATAAATCCTTCAGTTTTTTTCGTTAATACTCCTGATCTTAATCAACTCCATAAATTATTAGTAGTATCAAATGTTAAACTTTTATGTCATCTGACTGGCTCAAC